AGCAGACTATGAGAAGGAGCCCGAGTCCTGTGGGACGTTGACTGCGGTTAGGAAGAAGCTATCCGGCCAGCAGGATGGAAGGGGAGCACGATCCGCCGGTGCACCCGGTGTATAGAGCTGAACTGCACGAGCCGGAGGGTGGCGAACCCCAGACGTTGGGGGGAGATAACGCACCTAAGTGAGCGGGCATGGCTGAACGCACTCCCGAGCGACGGAGTCTAGGCGGATCGCCTACTGCTTCTCATCGCAAGCGGGTGAACGACGAAGAACGGCGTGGACCGAACGTGGCCGCACGGAGCGCGAATGATGCGGATCTTCGAGATCAGCGGGAGGAGGCGGCTGGAACCAGGACAAGGACCGCCGGACGCTTCGCTAGAAGCTGGGAGAGCGGAAGGTCAGCGACATCGGTTGTGCCTAAGATCGAGGTACCGGAGCACTTCTCTGGGGCGCCCAGCGAGGAGCCATCCTTGAAGAATTATATCATGATGATTGAAGATATGTGGTACTGCTGGGAGCGGGAGGGACTGGATCCCGTGGAATTCTTCAGGTGGCTCGGCAAAACTCAGTGAGGGGAAGAGCAGACGCACTATCGTGTGGAAAGGGGGAGGTTGCTGAAGAAGTGTGAGCGTGGCGAATTTCCACCCAAGGAGCTGACGGATCGATTCTTAGAGATTCTTCGGGAGCAATTACCTCGGGATTCAGAGGAGCGGACAGCCGAGTTTCAGGACTTCAAACGAGGTCGGCAAATCGCTGCTAGCCCACTACAATCGATTGGTGGAGCTGGCGGAAGATATGAACTGCCTTGAAGAGCGGCTCATGGTGAACAAAATTCTCGGAGGACTAGATGATCGTTTAGTAGACGAGATGCGTGCTGCACTGTACCCTATACGGTCCCGAGCAACTCTACGGCAGGTATACTTGATAGCAAAGGAGATGGAGGAGGGTCGCCGATTCGTCGACTCGACTCGGGGAAGCGTACGGTCGGCAGAGGGAAGGAGATCGGCGTGGGTGGCTAAGGAGGGTCGGCGACCGGAGGAAGAAGGGCGTGGCTGGAGGAGCGAAGGCAAGAAAGAGAGCAGCATGGATGAGCTGTAATGCCACAAGTGTGGGGAGGTGGGACACATCAGGCGGGATTGTGCAATGGATATCATCTGCGATATCTGCAGGCAGAAGGGACACTTTTGACGGAACTGTCCTAAGGCACCGATGTGCAATGAATGCGGGCGGAAGGGGCATACGGAGAATCAGTGCTACCGCCGGGGTGGTCTAGGGAGGGGAGGATTGTCCCGAGAGGCACAACTGGAGCAGGAGATTAAGAAGCAAAGGGCGCAGGTGCAGAGGACCGATGTGAGCGAGGACCCCAAGAAAGCCCTGCTTGCTTGGGAGGAGGAGGAAGAGGAGGAATCAGAGACAGAAGAAAGCAAGTTCGTACTCATGGCGGCCATGCCTCGCGACCGCACTGACATGGGCCTGCGCAGCGAAGGCCTTGATGGAAGGAAGGGGGAGAAGACCGGCTCCAGGAGAACCCGTGTGCTACAAGCGCCGCAGAAGCTGGCTTCAGCAGCCAAGAGGCATCCCGAAGAGAGGCTGGTCTGCCAGACATCGGCTCTGGTGGTGGAACCAGGCAAGATAGCAATGCGAGGAGTGGGAGTGGAGAATGCGGTGGTCGATACTGGTGCCCAGAGTGTGCTGATGAGTCGGCGACTGGCGGATCAGCTGAGGCGGCAAGGGCAGCTGGAGGTGATCGAGAAAGGGATGTTAATCATGACAGCGGAGGGGGGCACTCCGAAGTGGATGCTGTATACAAAGGAGCCGATAGCAATCGTCTTGCTGCTAGGGGAAGACGGAGAGACAGAGATAAGGGTGCAGTGTGGATTAACTGAATCGGACGACTATGATTTGCTTGCAGGGATGGAGCTAGTATACAAAGTCGGCGCGCAGATATGCATGTGGGAGGAGAAGATGCTATTCCGTACCGCGTATTGGAAGGAGAGCAGCCCCATGAAGGAGCTGCCAGTAAAGTTCGTCAAGGCCAAGCCAAGGAGGGTGCTAAGGGCAGTGCTGCGGTACAAGGAGAGATGGACGACGGACGGGGAAAAGGAGAAGGGCGCGAGAAAAGAGAAGCCAGCGGTAGGTTCGAGCAGAGGACGGCCATTGGGAGGAAAGCTGGTGAAGCTGGTGGAATTGTTTGGGGGGATCGGTGCAGGACTAGCGGCGGCTATGGAAGCAGGGCTGCAGGTCGACCGCTCGGTATATGTGGAAAAGGATCCAGAAGCCAGGAAGATGGCGTGGCATCATGCAAATAGGCTGGCAACCCACTACCCAAGCCAGCTGACAGAAGCGGTGATACAAAGAGCACAATAAGAAAACTATTGGGATGTACGCCTGCTCACCAAACATGTGGTGGCCAGTTGGGGGGGAGGTGGACCTGCTAGTGGCTGGGTGGGAGTGTCAAGGCACGTCATGGGCAGGAAGGGGCAAACGAATGCGAGACTCCCGCTCGGCTCTGCTAGAGAAGCTGGTGCAGATCATGGAATGGGTGCAAGGGAATGGCGCAAAGTATGCTTACATCGTAGAGCATGTGGATATAGAGGGAGATCCCCGAGAGCCAGTACGCAAAGTGCAAGAACTAGTCACTTAGGCATTGGGCGAGGGCGTCAGCTGGGATGCAGCTCTCACCGGGGCTTGGGCTCATAGAGAGACGATTCTGGCAGAATGTAGTGCCAAGTGGAGTCTTACGACGACGAATGCGGGAGGTGAACAGGGACGACTCTCTCACAATGGGAGATGTGCTGGAGGTGGGCCGAGTGCCGGCGCCAGTAGAGAAGAGAGATCATCCGCACCAGCATCAGTGCAACAGAGTGGGGGAAGCACGGAGGGCGTGGCCCATCCTGGTCGCATATGAAGGGGCACGGGGCTTTCGGATGGAGGGAAATCAGCCAGGACCTGGGATGGTGTTCGATCATGCAAAGAAAAGCTGGGAGGAGCCGAGGGCCGTGGATCGAGAGCAGGCTATGGGCTACATGCGGGGGGCAACAGCTACTCGAGGGGTACACGAAGAGGTGCGCCGGGCGGCACTAGGACGAGCCATTGATCAGTAGGTGCTTTAGTGGCTAGTCAAGCAGATGATGGCGAATTAACCGAAGCAAGAGAGAGAACCCACCTAAGCTGCCTCAGGAAGACAGGCAACATACATGGCAGCAGTCCCAAAAGAGAGCAAGAGCACCCTGCAGGCCACAAAGGAGTGGGGCATGGCTGCAAACCTGCCTACAGGAATAGCAGAGGCAATCCGAGAAGTGCTGCAGGGGCACGAGAAAACCTTCGCGCACAGCTTGCATGAGCTGGGAAGTGTTGTGTGATGTCATCATATGTTATCACATTCTGTCTGCCTCCCATCCCTTGTTTCAATTCGCACGTATGGTTTGACTGTGTGTGAAAGAATTTGTGTGGTGTGTGTTCTGGAGTTTGGGAATGTGTTTTGTGTTATTCTGTCTGAGCAGGTATTTGTGATGATAGATCTTGAGAAGATCTTTCCGACGCAACAAGAATCGCGTCAATCGGAGCAAGAACGCGAAAGCTATGAAGATTCAAAGTTCATGAGCTTGCGTTACAATTGCGGCGGTTACAAAGTGAAGTTGTGGGGTGACTTTATATGGAGTTGGGACCTTTGGGGTTGGGGAAATTCGTCACTCTACTGTAACAGCTGCAAATTGGTTGGGAACAACCAAGCTAGGTTGGCAAGGGTGGCCAACTTGGATGGATTGGTTGGGAAGGGACAAATGTCAAAGTTGGGGTTCCTATAGGGAGGGAATCTTTGTGCTTATGGGGTTTCCTTGGTTGGGGACTCTCTTGGGACCTTCCCTCTCATCCCTCTCTTCTATCCCAACCTTTCTCTTGCTCCTCTAATTCCTTGTGAGATTCTTGAACTTTGATTGAACTCTTGAGATTGAGTTAAGTTCTCCTCCTACAGCTTACCCCCTAATGCGTCGAAAGCCATAGCGTCGCGAATACTTCATCAATCAACATGATTCAAATTGGGAACGGTAGCTGAGATAAAGAGCTACAACATATCCAAGTTTCGCGACATTCCAACGGCTAGGTTTTCGTCGACGTCGTTTCTTGTGAAGACGACTTTTCTGTCCAGAATTTCGGATTTATATTTTGAGTAATTCTAGCTCCTAAGTTCACCTAGACTCCGTCCTTAATCCTAACAAGTGGTATCAGAGCTGTATTAAGGACGTTGAGAGGAGTCTACAGAAGTGTGAAGACCCTTCTAGACCCACCATGGCCTGTGGGTGTGCCTAAGTGGTGTTCTAAAGGTTGGATGTGTCTTCCGCTAAGGGAAACTCTGCCGAAATTTCGTGGACGCCGACACTTGTGAAAATATCGAGGGAGCTGAGTGTGGACAGCAAAGGGGGGCTGAAATTCGTCATTTCTCAAGGAGAAGATGAATGAGAGAGGAGGAGATGCTAATGGAAGAGGAGCTGTAGCTGAGAAGACAAGTGAACCGCCGCCATCAAAAGTTGAAGCTTTGGATGGCTCCAACTATGAGGAATGGAGCGGACGGATGAGAAGTGCCTTCAAACGCTACAAGCTACTGAAGATTGCTGTTGGGGAAGAGAAGATGCCGGAAGAAGGCGAAGCACGTGAACGGTGGATTGAGAAAAGCACGGTGCTTTTCGACCTCATCCTTCAATCGGTCAACAAGGAGATGTTCGAGCACATCAAGGATCTTGTGGAAGCGGATGATTCGGGTCCAAGGGCGTGGAAACTACTACGCGATGTGATTCAGCCCAACACTCTCCTGATGGTGATCGTGCTCGAGAAGGAACTTGCTGCCATCTCCATGCGACCAGGGGACGATGTGAAGCCGGTCCTTGACAAGATCAAGGACACCTATGCAAGGATGGCAGCAGCGGGCAGCAGTGTATCTCAGCTGCAGCAGTGCACCAAGATCATCTCGGTGTTGGACAACTCGTGGGATAACCTCATCCCCACCCTCAACTCTCAGCAAGATCAATGGACACCTGAGTGGCTAAGGCAGCAGATTCTGCAGGAGGACTTCCGCAGACGCCATGTGGGAGGCGGTGCTGCCACTAAGACTGCTGAGGAGTATGGAGCTGCAGGGCGCGGCAGAGGAAGAGGGGGTTGGAAAGGCCGAGGCCGTGGGAGGAGCTTTGGCAGAGGTAGAGGCCGAGGTGACTATAATGAGGGGCATGGGAGCTCTAGTGGCAGGGGGAGTACCAGAATGGAGGGCACGTGCTGGTACTGCAAGAAGGTTGGGCATCCTTGGTTCAAGTGCTTCAGCAGGCTGGAGGGATGGGCACCTCCAGGCATGAAGCCGCCCAGTGGTGAACGCGCACAAGGTGGCGCTGTGCAAGGCTCAGGTGCACAAGGTGAAGGTGCACAAGGTAATGCCTATCCTGGTTTGTTTGTTATGGTTGAGGATGTGCATGGGCATGAGGGTGATGTGGGATCTGTGGGAAAGGTTGTGATGCACCCTCTCACGCACTGGGTGATTGATTCGGGTTGCACCAGTCACATGACCCCACGGGCAGATTTGCTTGATGAGGTAAAACCCCCTGGGAAGATCAAGTATGTGGCAGCAGCGTCAGGTGCTTTGCTCCCTGTCATTGGTGTTGGAAATGCCAAGGTTAAGGGAGCTAATGGGGAGCTTGTGGGGCTTGGGAATGTTCTGCTGGTTAAAGGCTTGTCTGCTAACCTTCTCTCTGTGCGACGACTGCAGAAGAGCAAGGCCGAAGTGACCTTTGGACCAACCAGCTGCCGTGCTAAGCTTGGGAAGAAGGTGCTATGGAGTCTGGAAGAGGAGACCAGTTGCATCAAGGACCTGTGGCAGCTGCCCATCATCCCATGGAATGGGAAGACTCCAACAGCAGCAACGGCAGCAGCGGCAAAGGCAACAGCAGGAGGAGATGCAACTGCACCAACTGATGGGGTCCTGGAAGCAGTCAAGAAAGTGCAGCAGCAGCAGAGACATGGTGAGGTGCTTGCTGGTGTGGATGCGAGTGCGGCATGGGCTAAGGCTTCATCAAAGAGTGGAGAGGCCGATTGGGAGACATGGCATGAGAGGCTGTGTCATGTGAACTTCCCTATGCTACAGAAGTTGGTAAAGGATGGGAGCCTGAAAGGCTTGGAGGTGAAAGGGGGAGTGAAGGAGATTGGGAGCTGCCCTACATGCTTGGAGACCAAGTTCTCCAAGTTCCCCTTCAACAGCACTACAGGACCAGCCAAGACCCCACTTGCACTTGTGCACATGGATGTGGTGGGGCCCACAAGAGCCCCTTCCCTCTCAGGCAGCCGCTATTTCTTGACAATTGTGGATGACCACACTCGAGCAGTGTGGGTTTACCCTTTGAACAGCAAGGGGGAGGTGGCAGCGGCTGTCCTTAAGGAGTGGATGCCGAGAGCTCAGAGGGAATGCGGACACAAGGTGAAGGTGATCCGTAGTGACAATGGTGGGGAGTTCATTGGAGCTGATTTTGAGGGGGAGTTGAAGAGGAAGGGGATCCAACATCAACTGACAGTGCCCTACAACCCGCAGCAGAATGGCGTGGCTGAGAGGTTCAACAGGACCCTGCAGGAGGGGGCACGCACTCTCCTTGGGCGTGCAGGGCTGCCTGATCCGTTTTGGGTGTCTGCACTGAGGCAGGTCGCCCTTGTGAAGAACAGGGTGCTGGCTACAGTTGGAGATAAGGAGTGGATCCCATATGTCAAGTGGTATGGGAGTGCTCCAGCTGTGAATATGCTGAGGGCATTTGGGTGCATGGTAGTGTTTCATGTGCCTAAGGAGAAAAGGGGGAAGTTGGAGGCTTCTGGAAGATGGGGTGTGCACTTGGGGATTGCAAAGGATCACAAGGGGTGGCTGCTATGGGACTTGACCACCCAGAAGTTGACAGTGTCAAGGGATGTGAAGTTTCTTGAGTCCCTGTACTACAAGGAATGGAAGCAGCAGCAACAGAAGCTTCCATCTACACCGCTCATTGTGGAGGCGGATGAGGTGCAGCGGCCTTCAAGACAGGTAGAGGTTGCAGTGTCAGAGGAGGAGATGTCTGGGGTGACTGAGGAAGGGGGAGCAGCTGAAGTAGAGCAGCAGCAGCAGCAGCATGAGTCTCCACCTCGAGTTCCACACCCGCCTGAGCGTCCTAGGAGGGATGTGCGCCCTCCAGTGAGGCTGACCTATGGGGGAAGAGGCAAGCCGAATGTGGTGCAGGCTGGGAGTGTGGTTGAGCAGATTGAGGAAGATGAGATCGCTCACTGCTACTGGGCACCAATCCCTGAGCCCAAGACTCGAGAAGAGGCCTTGAATGGACCAAATGGGGAGAAGTGGAAGGCGAGTGAGGATGAGGAGTTTGGGTCCCTGATTGAGAACGAGACATGGGACCTGTGTGACTTGCCTCCTGGAAAGAAGGCAATCACTTCCAAGATGATCTACAGGCACAAGTATGGACCTGAAGGGGAGCTGACCCGATACAAGTCTAGGCTTGTGGCAAGGGGGTTTCAGCAGACAAAAGGGAAGGACTATGATGAGGTGTTTGCTCCTGTGGGGAAAGGAACAACACTGAGGGTGCTGTTGGCGATAGCTGCACTCCTGGGATGGAAGATACGGCAGATGGACATTGTGACTGCCTTTCTGAATGGGATCATTCTGGAGGAGGTGTATATGAAGCAGCCAGAGGGGCTGGATGATGGGAGCGGCAGGGTCTGCAGGCTGAAGAAGGCCATCTATGGCCTTAAGCAGGCGCCTCGTGCATGGTATCACAAGTTGGAGGAGGCGCTGCTGGCTGGGGGTTTCAAGAAGAGTGAGTGTGACCCCAGCCTGTTCCTGCTGCAGGAGAAGGATGAAATCCTCATGCTCTTGGTGTACGTGGATGATATCCTTCTCTTTTCTGCATCAACTGCTTTGCTGGACAGCGCAGAGCAGATGCTAGAGATGCAGTTCAAGTGTTCCAAGATGGGTGAGGTGAAGTACTACTTGGGGATGCATGTGGAGAGAGATGTGGAGAAGGGTGTGCTGAGGTTGCACCAGAGGAAGTACTGTGAGGGGCTGGCTGAGAAGTATGGGCTGCAAGATGGGGGAAAGCCAGCAACACCACTACCTTCAGGGTTTACTGTGGAGCCATGTGCTGATGAGGAGGTAGTGGGTGAGAGTGACAGGAAGCTGTTTCATTCGATGGTTGGGTCGCTGAATTATGCTGCAAATCATACACGGCCTGACATTGCATTTTCTACATCACGGTTGGCTAGTGTGGTCTCACGCCCTAGTCATGAGCAGCTGGAAGCGGCCAAGAGGTTGGTCCGCTATGTGAGTGCTACGGCATCAGTGGGATTGGAGTACAGTGGAGTGAGGCAGCGGTTGCAGAGAGGTGCTGCAGATGTGAAGAGTGGTGAGATGCTCTTGAGTTGCTATACTGACGCTAGCTTCAACTCAGTGAAAGCGGATGGCACCAGCATTGGGGGTTATGTGTGCTTGCTAGGAGGTGGTGCTGTGAGCTGGCGCAGCAAGAAGCAGAATGAGGTGGGATTGTCCTCATGTGAGACTGAGTACATGGCCTTACACCATGGGGCCAAGGAAGTAGTGTGGCTAAGGCGTTTGTTGGAGGAGTTGGGAGTTGGTCAGGAGGAGCCGACAGTTGTGTTCTGTGACAATGAGTCTGCTGTGAAGCTCGCCAAGAATGCTTGTTTGCATGGGCTGACAAAACACATAAGGCCTAAGTGGCACTGGGTGAGGAGACTCCTTGATAAGGAGGTGCGGCTGGAGATAGTGAAGACCCATCAGCAGGCAGCAGATATTTTCACCAAGCGTCTGGCGGAGGCGGATCATTGGAAGGGCATGAAGCTTGCTGGGATGAGTGTGCATTGAGTATGCATGCTTGAGATGTTGGTATGGTGGTTGATGGTTGGCAGCCAGAGGGGGAGATTGTTGTGTGATGTCATCATATGTTATCACATTCTGTCTGCCTCCCATCCCTTGTTTCAATTCGCACGTATGGTTTGACTGTGTGTGAAAGAATTTGTGTGGTGTGTGTTCTGGAGTTTGGGAATGTGTTTTGTGTTATTCTGTCTGAGCAGGTATTTGTGATGATAGATCTTGAGAAGATCTTTCCGACGCAACAAGAATCGCGTCAATCGGAGCAAGAACGCGAAAGCTATGAAGATTCAAAGTTCATGAGCTTGCGTTACAATTGCGGCGGTTACAAAGTGAAGTTGTGGGGTGACTTTATATGGAGTTGGGACCTTTGGGGTTGGGGAAATTCGTCACTCTACTGTAACAGCTGCAAATTGGTTGGGAACAACCAAGCTAGGTTGGCAAGGGTGGCCAACTTGGATGGATTGGTTGGGAAGGGACAAATGTCAAAGTTGGGGTTCCTATAGGGAGGGAATCTTTGTGCTTATGGGGTTTCCTTGGTTGGGGACTCTCTTGGGACCTTCCCTCTCATCCCTCTCTTCTATCCCAACCTTTCTCTTGCTCCTCTAATTCCTTGTGAGATTCTTGAACTTTGATTGAACTCTTGAGATTGAGTTAAGTTCTCCTCCTACAGCTTACCCCCTAATGCGTCGAAAGCCATAGCGTCGCGAATACTTCATCAATCAACATGATTCAAATTGGGAACGGTAGCTGAGATAAAGAGCTACAACATATCCAAGTTTCGCGACATTCCAACGGCTAGGTTTTCGTCGACGTCGTTTCTTGTGAAGACGACTTTTCTGTCCAGAATTTCGGATTTATATTTTTAGTAATGCAACATTCGGCAGCTGGAGCTGAACCTGACTACCGAGGTGCCCATCTACCAGCGAAGGCGAAGGCTAAACCCGGGAGATGAAGAGATATGCCGAGCCAAGTGCAAGGAAATTCTGGATGCCGAACTGATTCGTCCCTCAGAATCCCCCTATGCAGCTGCGACCATGGTGGCGGCTAAGAGTGACCTGACGGGAACTGTGCTGCAGTGGCGCATGTGCGGGGACTACAGAGACTTCAACTCAGTGACAGTGCCTGTCCGCTACACAATGCCAACTGCCGAAGAGATATTTGACCGTCTGGTGTCAGCAGTGCTGATAAGCACCTTTGACGTGCGACAAGGATTTAATCAGATCTTGATCAGAGGGGAAGACAAGAAGTCAGCATTCTATGGGGCGGATGGGCTCTATGAATGGAACACCATGCCATTCGGCTTGTAGAATGCCTCGGCAGTGTTCCAGAGGACCATGGATCAAGTGCTGAGAGGAGTGCCTCCTGCCGCCTGCTACATTGACGATATTATAGTCTTCAGCAGCGGTGACGAGCAACACTCAAAAGATATCAAGGCCACGCTGGATGCGGTTGCAGCAGCAGGCCTCCGGTGCCATCCCGACAAGTGCAAAATCGCAAGACGGACCATCAGCTACCTGGGCTACGAAGTGAGCGGGGGGCAGTTGGGCATACAAGCAGCCAAGGTAGCCGTGTTAGATCTGCTGGAGCAGCCAAAAGACAAGAGCACCTTGAGGGCTCTGCTCGGCTTCATCAACTACTATCGGAAGTTCGTGCCGAACTACAGCAGGAGGGCGGACCCGCTGAATCAGCTCCTACGAGGTGGGCAGACCTGGCCATGGGGAGCGGAGGAGGAAGCGGCAAGGAAGGACCTTCTGGCAGCAGTGAAGTCCGGGACCCTCTTGCAGATCCCAGTGAGGAGTGCTCCCTTCACGCTGTACACCGATTGGAGTCGAAGCGGCCTGGGGGCAGTGCTGTGTTAGAAGATCAAAGGAGAGGAACGAGTGGTGGCATATGCAAGCAGGAGCTGCAGCGCCACAGAGGCCAACTATAGCTCCTATGAAAGCAAAGGGCTGGCAGCAGTGTGGGGAGTGACTCATTTCAAGGTGTATCTCCAAGGCTGACACTTCACTCTTGTGACCGACCACCAACCCCTGCTGTGGCTGATGAAGAATCAAATGCTGACAGGACGCAATGCTCGGTGGGCAATGAGACTTCAAGAGTACGAGTTTGACATACAGCACCGGTTAGGAAAGACCCTTCAGCATGCAGACGGGCTGTCTAGGAATCCACCTCCACTGAAAGAGCCTCAAATGGCAGCAGCCGCCTACCAGGTACAAGAAGTGGGAAGCGGTGCTGGGACCAGGGGACAGGAACATCGAGGGGCAGATATCTGACACGACGAGGAAGCTCTGCTGTGGATAAAGGGGGAGCAGCCCAATGAAGGGGACACGTCAGCACGGGCCCGTGCTCGCGGGAGTCATTACCGGTGGCAGCTGGAGCAGCTGCAGATGCGGACCTCAGAAGGATGGAAGGTCGTGCCAGCACCAGGGTAGCAGGAGGAGTACATAAAAAGCTGGGACACTACGGGGGAGCGCGCACACGCCAGCTGCTAAGCACCAGCTATTGGTGGGCCGGAATGCGCAAGGATGTGGCGGCATGGGTGGCCGGCTGCGAGTTGTGCCAGAGAAACAAGGCCAGTCTAGAGCGACGGAGGGAGGAACTACAGTCGCTGCCAATTCAAGAGGTCGGCTACCGCTGGTCATTGGATCTAGCAGGGGAATTGCCTATGTCCAGGAGGGGTAAGCTCTACGTGGTGGTCATGATAGAGCATACGAGTAAGTGGGTGGAAGCGAGGGCAATTTCCAGCAAAAGCAGCTCCTTGATCTTAGAAGCCTTTGTAGATCAAGTGCTCAGTTGCTTGGGAGCTTACGGGGAAGTACTGACGGACCAGGGCACTGAATTCCAAGGAGCATTTGCGGAGATGCTGACAGAGATCGGGATTACTCACAGGCGGACGTCTCGCTACCATCCTCAGTCAGATGGACTGACGGAGTGGCTCATTCAGACGCTGAAGAAGGAAATGCGGGTGTATGGGGAGCAGCACAAGAGGGACTGGGATCTGGAGTTGCCCTGGTTCATGGTGGGTTATCGATTCGCGAAGCAAGCGGCACTGAAGGACATCTCCCCATACTACCTGCTGTATGGGCAAGATCCCATACTGCGCGTCGATGCCCCGAAGATGCTGTCGGCCGTGATTACAGCGGGGACACCAGAGAATTTGGCGGTCTTGGCACACCGCCAAGCAGCCTACCTCAGGGAACTCATGCCGGCAGCACTGGACAACCTACAAGTGGCTCAACTGAGGGATGCTTGGCGGTATGAATAGAGGAAGAGCGGGTCAGGAGGACAGCCGCGGAGAAAGGTGGTCGAGGGTGGGGAGGTGTACCTGAGGTGAGCTAAGGGAGACACGCTTGACATGGCGGTGGGGGCAGAACGTTGGAAGGTGAAGGAGATGCGCCCGTCCGGAGTCCTGGTCCTGGAGAATGACGAGGGTTACACCACGCGAGAGCACATCACGAATATGGCAGCGGCTGGGACCAAGGGAGAGACGACCCAAGCTCAGAGTCCCGTGACTCGGGCTGCCGCAGCACGAGCCCAAGCACAGGAGGGGGCAGAGTAGCTTGGAAAGACAGCACAGCAAGTGGCTTGAGCCAGTGCAAGAAGGGAAGGGACAGGTCGGGAGGCAGTGCAGTACGCTGCACAAGCATGGTGGGGACAGGGAGGGAGGAAGGCATGACAGCTGTCGTGCTAGCTAGCCAGATCAGCTGGTGGCTAACTAGTACAGCAGCTATGTAGTATAAATGGAGGTATACTGTAGATTGTGAAGCATAACGACGACCGTGGTGTAGCAGAAGAAGCAATTCACGGAGATGCAGCACCGAGGGCGGCAGTACCAAAGTGGGACCAGTTTTCATAAGCAACGAGGTGGCGAGAGTCAACATGACCTCAGCCCGAGCAACCCAGGGACTAGTCACCCAGCTCGAGAGGCGTTCCACGGTAACCACATGTGGCGCCCCTGATTGGAAGAGGCCAAGTCCAAGGGTCTTGCGTAGGATTGTAAATAGCCTGTGATCTAGTTGGATTCCTGCTTTTCGCTTGTTTGTTTCCGTCATACTGCAATGTTCTCGATTTGACTTCAAACGACGGGCAGTGGAAGGAATCCAGGTTCACTTGCTTCAGATCCAGATCATCGAGCAAGATCTTGTTGCTGAGTAGCTTGGAAAGACAGCATAGCAGAAGGCTAGAGCCAGTGCAAGAAGGGAAGGGACAGATCGGGAGGCAATGCAGTACGCTGCACAAGCAGGAGGAAGGCACGACACCTCGTCTGAACCACCGTCCCCGCCTCCCCTTGGGGCGGTGGCCCCTACCCTGACGCGGCTACGCTAAGGCCGCAGCAGCGGTCTCAGCAGTAGGGGCTGTCTTAGCGATTATCACATGATCGAATGTGTCGAGGAAAAGTTGCACTATCAATTGGTACAAGAAGCTTTTATACTTCCAAGGTACATTAGATAACCAGGTTTACCATATCCAAAGGGAATAGACCCTTCTAGAAATAGAATCATCTTGCGTATAGCCACGCGAGGCTATTGGCTTTAAGGGATTACGGTGGGATTACACTAGATATAGCGCGCCAGTACATCCCGAGCCTCGTCGGTGATATAATTATAATAATAGGATAAACCAAAGGATAATGGAAAATCAAGAATAGGAAACCAAATGAGTTGAGATAAAGCCCAAATGAATCAGGATCCAAAGAAGAATGAGAGAGGAGAAATGAGAAGTGTAACGGGGTCGTACTCTCACACTTCCCCCCCCTCAAAGCTCAGTGGTAAATGTAACACCCTGCTTGACAAGGTAGTCGCGAAGAGGACGACGAGTGTTACCCATCTCCGATGTAGGAACCCAACTGCCCTCAGAAGGATCTTAACCCTTCCAACGAATAAGAAGCTCCACGGTGCCATTTCGACGACAGCGGTGGGCAAGCACGGACTCGACCTCGTACTCGGGTTCATCGTGGACGAGGACGGGCGGCGACGGTTGGCGGCCGGTGAAGAGCGTGTTAGGATCGCGGTAGGGCTACAGAAGTTGGACATGGAAGGCGTTGTGAATTTTCCAAGTAGCTTGCAGGCATAAGCGAAAGGTAACAGGAGTGACCTATGTTTTGACGAGAAAGGGCCCCCAAAAGTGAGGTCGCAGTTTGGATGGGAGATGGTTGATGTTGAGATTGCGGGTGTCGAGTAGCATCTGGTCTCTCACAGTGATGGGGTGGTCGGTGCAATGGGGATCAGCTTGGCGCTATTGTTGCTGCTGAATGCCGAGGAGGCGCTTGTGGGTCCGATCCCAAAGCTGGTGCATGGTCGTGATGAAGTCGTGTGCGGGTTGGACTATGGCTAATACGGTTGTTTTCTGTGGCGTGAGTGGGTGGCGGCTGTAACAGAGGAAGAATGACGTCTGTCCAGCAGCGGTGTGAGTGGCATCGTTGTAGGCAAACTCCAGGATGGGTAGATGCAAGTCCCACTTAGAGATTTCGTCCTTACATGCTGCGCGGAGGAGTTGCTCTACAATTTGGTTGAGACGCTCGGTCTGGCTGTCTGTCTGCGGATGGTAGGCGTATGACATGGCGAGTTTGGTTCCGAGCAGAGACATCAGTTCCTTCCAGAATTTGCTGGTGAACTTGGGGTCTCGGTCGGAGATGAGTGTGGTTGGAATGCTGTGTTGTGAGATGATGTAGCGAACAAATAGTTTTGCCGTCTCCTCAGTGCATGATGTCGTGTGTGTCAAGATGAAGTGTCCCATTTTGGAGAATTTGTCGATGACGACGAGGATTGCGTCATGACCGCTTGTGGTAGTTGGGAACCCGGTGATGAAGTCTAGGCTCTACACTTGCCATGGTTGTTCTAGGACAGGAAGAGGCTGTAGCAGTCCTGCCTTTTTCTGCTTCTGCTCTTCATCCGCTGACATGCAGCGCACGAGGTGACGAATCTCTGTACGTCGTCTGCCATGTGGGGCCAGTAATAGATTTTTTCGATCCTGGTGAGCGTTTTGTTGCTACCAAAGTGTGTTGCGTATAGGACGTCGTGGTATTCTTCGAGTTGTTACTGGCACAAAGGAGGGTAATTGGGTACTTAGACTTTGGTTGATCCTTTTCGGTATGCGATGTCATTGTCCCACTGTAGCAGGTGTAGCTTTTCTCCCAAGGGGATTTTGGGGTCAATGGTGTAACTGTGTGTGAAGAGTCCCTTGAGGAGTGGGTTCATCCTTTCTACCTGGATAGCAGCAACGTGTGCAGGCCTGCTAAGAGCGTCTTCTTTGTTTTTATGGTCAAGCTTGTACACGATGTCGTTATGGAAGTGCGTCTCGAGAAAGTCGATCCACCGGACCTGCCGCCTGGAGAGGCTTCGCTGTGTCTTCAAATATTTTAGACTGCAATGGTCGGTGTAGATGGTTGTTTTTCGTCCTTCGAGATAACATGATAATAGCAAGGCCCTCCTTGTCATGTATCGGCTAGTTTTGTTTTGCCCCGTTTAATTTCTTACTGAGGCAGGCGATTGGTTGCAGTCCATTCCCCTGGTCTTGCATCAGGACTGCTCCCACGGCCTGGTCGCTAGCGTCAGCTTCGATGATGTAGTTGCGTTCGGGATTTGGCAAAATGAGTACGGGTGTGGACGTGAGTGCTTGTTTCAGCTGCTCCATGGTTTCCTGATGTTTTTGCTTCCACTTATAGGGCGTGTTCTTCTTCAGCAAATTCGTTAGTGGTCTTGCGATTTTCTCGTACTGTGGCACGAACCTGTTGTAATATTTAGCGAAGCCTTAGAACTGCTGCAACTCCATTACGTTCTTGGGTGTCTTCCAAGTGCTTCGGCTTCGATTTTCTTGGAGTCGACGTGAACTCCTTCAGCGCTCACCATGTGTCATAGGAATTGAACGTTCTCGAGGGCAAATTCGCTCTTGGACAAATTGACGTAGAATCGTTCTCGTCGAAGAATGTCGAAGACGCGGCGCAGGTGTTCGACGTGTTGTTTCATGTCGCGCGAGTAGATGAGGATGTCGTCCAGGTACACCACCACGCATTCGTCCAAGAGTGGGCGTAGAATGTGGTTCATTTCAGCTTGGAACATTGTCGGTGCGTTGGTGAGTCCGAACGGCATTACAAGATACTCGTACGATCCGTACCGAGTTCGGAAGGCAGTTTTGTGGATGGATTTGTCCGCCATTCTTATCTGCAGTATCCGGACCGCAGATCCAGTTTGGAAAATACCGTCGCTCCCCGAAGCTGGTCAAGCAGGTCATCGATTCGTGGAATCGGGTATTTGTTCTTGATGGTCTGCTTGTTGAGAGCTTGGTAATCGATGCACATGCTAGTCTTCCATCCAGTTTCGGTGTGAAGAGTACTTGGGCACCGTATGGCGAAGTGGATGGTCGGATGAGTGCTTTGACAAAGAGATACTTGATTTGTTTCTTCATGTCGGCTAGCTCTGTGGGATTGAGTCAATATGGTGCTCGGAAAGTCGGCTTCGAATCTGGTTCCTCCACGATCTTGTGTTGGTGCGTTCGGTATGGCGGTAGCTCGTTCAAAAGGTCGTCGAGAAGAATGCCTTGGAACTCCTTCTGTAATTCCTTGATTTTTTCTGGAGGTTCCGAGGTTTTCTCTACGTCTTCTTTCGCATCTGTTGCTAGCGCCAGGAACCCGGTGTTGGTTCGTTTCACGTCCTTCTCCAATCTTGCGAGTGTCTCCACTGGGATATCTCCTGTATCGTCCCAGTTGGGTAGCTGGACTCTCCTTGTGTTGTTGTAGATGCTTGTGGTGCGGTTTACCCAGTTGATCTCTAGGTTAAATTTCTTAAGGAAGTTTCGCCCGAAGATCAAGTCAAGCCCTTTTATGTTGGTGATGGAGAGTGCAGGTTTCGAGCGCAGTGGACCAATTTGTAGGTGTAGCACTGCCTCGCCGTATACTGGTAACTTGCTTCCGTCCACCATCATTTCAGAGTATGCTGAAGGCTTGTACTCTTCTCGAAGTCGGTCAGTTGCTGCCTTGTCGCATATGGTGTGTGGTGTTCTGCTGTCCACGAGTGCTTGCTGGCGTTGTCCTTTGCAAATGACCTCGAGCACGAGGGGCAGGCATTGCTAGGAGTACCCAAAGATCGTTTCATTGATCGGATCATAGGGTACATCCTAATATTCCGTACACACATTTTTGTTACTATCTACTCCTGAGCCAGCAGCTGGCCGAGGCTGCTTGGAGAAAGGTTCTTCTCCAGGGCCTGGAGTCTCATTGGCGATTGTATGCGTCGTTGATGTCGAAGTTGCAAAGCTGGATGCATCCGAAGGAGGAGTTCGGGGTTTTTGCAGTTTCTTGTAGACCCCCAGCTTCCTGTTGAGCTGCTTTAGCTCCACCGACATCTTCCCTATGGAAAGGGTAGTCGTTGTGGGCTGGTGTCGGGGGAGGACGTTGACTCCGTGAAAAGTTCGGCTTCTTTCCACACTGCTTAATTTTGTCCCCAAGTTCTCCGGTACCGATACGATCTTCACAATTTTCTCCTTCTTCTGGAGTCCCTCCCAAATTTTCTTCAAGGCTCTAGCCCCTCGAGAAACATAAGTTTTCATTAAAGCATTTTCATAAGACAACTTGAACGAATCCTTACAGTATATTTTCTTGGGTCTTCGAGGAGTTTCCCCGACTCGGCAGAGTCCTTTTTCGCGAAGTCATATATTTTCTCTGCGATTTTCCTGGCACAGACTGGTCGTGGGAGAGCCCTTTTTCGCGAATTCATATATATTATGTGCGATTTTCCTAGCAAAGACTGGTCATGGGGTGGAGTTTTTCCCCCATCATTTCCTCCTGCTCGCGCTGAATCAGCTTCGTCGAAGTTAATTTTCCGGAATCCCACGGTCGTTTTCGTCTCGTTTCGTTTTTCGCCTGCTAGTTCCGCAAGCACTAGCGATTCCCTTTTTTTGTCTTCTGATTGGCCGAAGAATTTCCGCCACTGTTGCATGCTCGATACTCTACTCGTGCGGCTTTCATTTTGTTGCAGTCGTGGATTCGATGACCCGGCACTCCGCAAAAATCACACGTGAAATTGGTGTTTTTCGGACGTGGCCGCCCGTCGAACCTGTCGATTTCCATCGGGTCGGCGAACGTCGGGTGAGCCGAGCGGTCGCCTTGTCACGTATTACCGACGTGCGCCTGTCGTGTTCTGGCGTTGACCATGTCAAACCACTCCACTACCGATACGACGTCACTGCAGCTCGCATAATTTGTCGCTGCTACCTGCCGTTTGACATCGATCTTCAGCTCAGCGAGATACGACTGTACTTTTTCCCCTTCGGTCAGGTCGGGAATGTGGTGATAAAATTCCTCCATCTGTTGCGTGTACTGTGCTACACTCCCGAACTGTCGATGGCGATGATTTTTTTCCCAAGCAAGGAAACCGGAATTCATCGGCTCGAAACGTTTCAGCAGGTCGGTGCGGAACTACTGCCACGTGGCTTCGCCGTGGATGCGGGTACTGTTGCCGTCGATCCACTCAAGTCCCGGCCCTCGCATCAGTGTCACCGCAAGTCGTATGCGTTGACCGTCCCAGACTGGCGAGCTCCATCTAACGGGCTGCGAAGTAGATCTCCATGCCGGCGATCCATCTGCAGACGTAGTTCGATCGCTCGGATCGAACGACTCAAGTGGGCGCGTCTTGGAGCCTCGAGAAACTGCTATGACTGCTGCATCGTCGCTATTGTCGTTTCGTGTTGCGAGCCGGCGAGTCGAGTTACTCGCTCGAACTCGTTTCGCCAAGCTTCGCGGTCGGCTCGCATCTCCTCTTCTAGGGCGGCGATGCACGCAAAGAGCTGTTGGGTAACCTCGGTGTTGTCCCAAGTTTGCCATCTCGTTCAAAATACGCGCAAGAGGGGGTAATTCAAAAAATGCGGACCTGGTGCTTACCAGAAATTGGCGCCCAATTAGTCGCCCCCGGCGGATTTTCGACGTAGGTTTCCCGCTGCTGCAACTTAGCTGAGCACGGCCGAGTGAGAAAAACTCTGATTACCAAGTGTTACAGGATCGAATGTGTCGAGGAAATGTTGCATTATCGATTGGTACAAGGCGCTTTTATACTTCCAAGGTACATCGGGTAACCATGTTTATCCTATCCAAAGGGAATAGACCCTTCTAGAAACAGAATCACCATACGTATAGCCACACGAGGCTAGTGGCTTTAAGGGATTACGACGGGATTACGCTAGATATAGCGCGCCAGTACATCCCGAGCCTGGTCAGTGATATAATTATAATAATATGATAAACCAAAGGATAATAGAAATAAGGAATAGGAAACCAAATGAGATAAGATAAAGCCCAAATGAATCATGATGAAAAGGAGAATGGGAGAGAGGAGAAATGAGAAGTGTAACAGGGTCGTACTCTCACAGCGACAGCGGCAGAAACGTCACAGTAGGTGCACTAGGAGGGAGAACAGCCCTGAAAGATAGGGACCGCTGCAGTACTGCTGGACTGAGCGATAGTGCGCTGGCGGGTCTCTATCTCGGACATGGCGGTGACCAAGGCGCTAAGGGTGAGGTCACCTGGGTGCTGACTAAGGAAGTGCGGGCAGTGGTTAGGCGGTCCGGGAGGCGCTTGGCAATGAGGTAAAGGGTAGCGCAAAGCGGCAGTGGGAAGGCAGTGAGTCGGGCCTCAGTGCTAGCGGCGTGGTAGCTAGCCTCAATTGCACAGAGGTGAGTGGCAAGGTCAGCGACAGCGTCGAGCGACTCCAAGACAGGGCGACTCCAAGACAGCGTCGCGCTACGGCGTCGCGCGACTCCAAGACAGGGCGAGCAAGCGCAGCAGCGGAAAAGGCTTCACGCTCAGCACTAGTTGGGGCATCTGGGAGGGCAGCAGGCGCAGTGGGACAGGGAAGCAAACCATCGACATGAACAGCGAGTAACCGTGCTGGCGCTGACCTGTCAGGTGATGGCGAAGGTCGACGAGCCACGCATCGAAGTCGATCGCCCGCCCCTCGGCGTCTAGGCGGAGCACAGCGTCCGCCATCCCACGACCTTAGCTATACGGCGTCACGGCGGCACGGCGAGACAACGGAACGGCACCCATGCGGCACGGCGGCACGGCGATACAGCGGCAAGGCAGCACGGCGGTACGGGGACACGACGGCACGGCTCCACGGCGGCACGGTTCCACGGCGGCACGGTTCCACAGCGGCACGGCGGCACGGCGACACGGCGGCACGGCGGCTCGGCGACACGGCGGCACGACGGCACGGTGGCACGGCGGAACAGCAGCACGACGACACGTCGGCACGGCGGGACTGTGGCACGGCGGCAACGCGGCTCGGAAGATCGACACGGCGGCATGGCAGGACCGTGGTCGGCGCGAAACGGAGCGGACGAGCAGGGACCGCCTAGCTAGGGGCCGGCAAGCGAGAGGCTAGCGAGCTCTAGGCCGGTTAAGGAGGGGCCGGCGGGCAAGGGACCGGCTAGCGAGGAGCCAGCGAGCTAGGGGCCGGTGAGCTCGAGGGTAGGTCAACGCGGGGCCAGCGAGCGCGAAGCCAGCTATCGCAGGGCCGGCGAGCACAGGGCCGACGAGCACGAGCCAGCGAGCACGGGGCCAGCGAGCACGAGGCCAGCGAGCACGGGGCGACAAACGCGGGCCTACGAGCGCGGGGCGACGAGTGCGGGCCAGCGAGCGTGAGGCGATGAGCTGGGTGTACGAGCGCAGGGCGACGAGCGCTGGCCAGCGGGCGCGGGGGGACGAGGGCGGGCCAGCGAGCGCGGGGCGACGAGCGCAGGCCTACGAGCGTGGGGCTAAGAGCGCGGGGCGACGAGCGGGGCCTACAGGCTAGGAATAGGGCTAGGACTAGAGCTAAGACTAGGGCTAGGACTAGGGCAAAGGCGGAAGCGCGGGTGGGCGAGGAGGATCTAACCTCGCGTGATACCATCTCAAGATAGTGAAGTAACTAGAAAAGGGCATACACGGTAGTTTTGTTCGAAGTGTTGTACTCTCTGTGGCATGCTCCTAGCTTGCCTATAAACATATACTAATATGTTTGACAATAAGACCCGGTGTGACTTTAATTTTCAAGGGTGCTTTTGTTGGGCAAATACGGAAAGTTACCAACATGCAGCTACTCGGAGCAGCCTCAGCCATCACACCGTGCATTGCCTCACCTCTTTCTGCCTCCTATAGCCTGTAAGGAACGCAGCAAGGGCCACCGTGTGAGGGCATCTTGCCAGTACCCATGCCACACGTGCCCATAATTGGGACCTCCAGTGGGGTCTTCCCAAACACGCACATCCATTCGCAGCGGGGAGTCGCCATCAAACGTGACAATGCGGGGGTGTGGATGGTACTGCCGCAGCCTCTGGTTGTACCTAAGGTTGACGGCATAGGCGTAGGGCATGCGGTGTTGCGGCGCCTCGTAGAACCAAGTGCCGTAGTACGCGTTGAGAAAGACGTCCAGGAAATCAAAGCGGTTGGCACGCTGCACCAGCTCGTGCAGCATGTGCGCCAGCACGTCTCGGTCGGGCTGGAGCAGCATGACACGCGTGGAGAACATGTCTGGGGGGAAGCGCAGGGGGGGAGCAGCGAAGGGGTGGAAGGCGGAGACGGCATCGTGGCAGTTGGCGGTGAAGAGGGAGAGCGCGTCCACATACAGCAGGCGCTCATAGTCCGTCTCGTTCCACACCTGCAGCACTGACAGCTGCTCGCTGTCTCCCCCGGGGTGGCCCAGCGGCTCCACCACATGCACGCGGTCAAATAGCGGCGCCAGCAGCTGCCGCTGGGCTAGGGGGACCGTGGCCAGCACGAGCAGCAGTGTGGGGAGTCGCGAGGGGCCTGGCGGGTGGTGCTTGTTGTAGGAGAGCACCCACACCACGGCAGCGTGCTGGTTGTGCTCGCCCACCACTGTCGCCACTGCCACGCGCCCGCCACTGCCACTCACGCCACCAGGTGCCACTGCCACTGCACTCTCTGTCATGCTCCCCCTCACCCAACCAGCAGCACGTGGCTCCTTTCCCGGCCCTTCCCTCTCATAGTCTGCCGCATTTGGCAAGCCTGCTGTGAGGGAAAAGCCATTGCCCAATGCTCCCTCCCCTCCCTCCTCCCCACCCTGCGCGCCTTCCTGCCCGCCCCCCCCCACAGCGCTTGCAGCACTTTCCCCCACAGGGAGCGGGTGCCAGCAGTTGTCATAGAGCGCGAGCGACACGTTGTACCAGAGGCGCAGCCACACGGCATATGGCTGCTGGCCTGTTGCGAAACACCAGTGGCAGCCATTGGGGCCATGCACAGGCCTGTTGGCACCCATGCCTGCGGGCTTGCCCCACGGCCCCCCCAGGTGCACCACCATGAGTGGGCCCAGCACCTCGTGTGCGCGCTCCACGTCGTACCAGGGGGGCGGCGGGTAGTTGCGTGGGTAGAGCACCATGGCGTTGTAACGGTACGGCAGGCGGTGCGCCACCGACATGTTGGCAAAGCCCGGCCAGAAGCGGTTCAGGTAGCCCTGGTCCGCATAGTCGGTGGAGCCCAGCACGTCAATCTTGGCTACCAGCGATGAAAACGTGGCCTGGCAGCGCACACACAGGCACAGAGAGGGGAGGAGGTGTGATTTGAAGAGGGGTTGAGGGGGGAAGTGGGTTGAAGAGGGCTGGCAATGCGGTGAGTCAAGTGACACTGATGCCATCCGCAATGCGGTACCTGCATTGTCCTGCCTTTGAAGCTTACCAGCCTCACCAGCCTATGTGTGCATGCGAGTGTCTGTGTGTGTGTGTGCGCGCGTGCGCGTGCGGGTGCACGTGTGCGTCTGCGTCTGTGCGCCTGTGTGTGTCTGTGTGTGTGTCGGTGTCTGTGTGTGTGAATGTTCTTGTGTGTGCGTACGTGCGTG